TCGAAACATCCACTTTCGCAGTACCCATTCCGTGGTCCGCTGTCAAATGCCATCTGTTGCAGCCACTGCAGATCGTTGTGATTTCTCTGGGTGGATAGAGGTATCGACAGCACGAATTTTGGTTCTGTCAAATTAGATTTAACCTTCCACACCCACTGTAAGCATTATGCTGCTCTGTATGCGTGTTGGACGTTAATTGGGTGTCTATCGTGCTTCACTACTTCATTTCTCCTTAACAGAGTTACACTTACATAGGACAGAAAACGGCTTCATTAATGGGTGACCGTTCTCACATGGCAGACCAACTTGCTTGCTCAAAAGCAGTGATTAAAGACAAACATCACCACACAAAAGCATGATGCGAATTGGGCAACGTGAGCCGATTTTCCTCCTTTCTTGTAATATACTGACGACTTAATTTGGTGAGCGAAGTCGTCGTTAGTCGTGCTTAAGGGGTTGGGTAGAGATACACAGCGGCAGTAGAATAAGATCACTACCGTAGTGTGAAGTAAGTGACAGAACACCACCTTAATAATGAAAGTGCGATTTCAAAGGCGTCTAAGTGCTGATACGAACGCCGTACAATTGGGATAGGGAACTGCATCACGGGAGGTTCCATGTTAGCAATGTTAAGAGTAATTAGTAAATTGAAGTTTCCAACATCCACACTTTGAAGACCTACACGTTACTCCATCAACCACCCATTCGTCATTCTGCTCTAGCTTATTATTTTAGTGTTGGTGGTGAGAACAAGATGGTGTCAAACAGATTTTCTCGTTCATACGTCTGCGAAGTACTCATCTAACTTATTTTTCTAAAAAACGGAAAACCAAGTTTCGTGAAAGCGCAGACATAAGTAACGAAACCTTGGGGTGCCGAGCACAACAGGATCTGCACAGTTGTCTGATTGTCAGAAGAACATCATAGCTCCGCCAATTCATTACTCTGTGGCCGAGTGCTCGGCTCACGCATTTAACACAAGATTATTTCATCCACTTACAAGTGCGTAAGACGGTACTGTTTTTGCTGCTACCAACTGGTTACACTGCCTTGGAACTGATCTCGAGCCTTTTGGCACTCGACGTTAATAAGTGAAAGAGGTATTGAGAAGAGGCGTGGACGAATGACTCCGAATTTTGTGGCTAAAAAACAAATGCTCACTTAAAAGCTTCGAGACCTACTGATTGCTTCTTAAGGCAAGTGCACACTTGGGGAATTTCTCATTCAACGCCACTGTCGCTAACAGGTAAAACACCTGTAGTGATGAGGATTCGGCATGCAGATTTCAAGCTGACTTAATAGTGGGATGAATTTGTGAATACTTTTCCTTCCATCTTGCAATGCAACCCCTTAAGGCTTTGTTCCATAACCACTCCTCGATTTACTTTGACATATTTAAATAATGTCTTCTCAATCTTATAAGTTTCACATTGGTTCTGGTTGATCACTAAAAATTTTAGCACTCAGATCGCATGTCATCTGGGAGTGCTTTGCCTGCAGTCTCGTTGACTCTCCCTACAACCCTCAGTGAAAGGAGCCGTGAACAAATGTAGAAGTCATTTATGTTTCCAGTAGCTTTACTGCCACCTCCACAACCACTGGTTGTAGTATGGAGAGCGTTTCAGGTGTTTTGCTAACTTTACTGAGTTGTTTTAAGTAAGTAAAGAGGCAGATGCGCAAATGTTTAACCACATGCGTTGATTGTGATCCTGTTCCGCCGCTATCATTTCATCCAAAAATGCTCTGTGGTTTTTGTTTTGCTGGCATTTTTGACAAAGTGACGCCGGCCATGGCGTATTCAGCCCCTCCCAAAAAGTTTCACCTTTATCAGATCTACATCAATAACGCTAAGACACAAATTTGTGGATTTCATTCATTAAAAACAATTGCTTATTTCTTCTCCTAAAGTGTCGAAGTGCACTGGCATAAGCACCTCGAGACAGGTAGATATGCATTTTTAGAAAGTGTGGCACTGTCCATGGAGCTCAACTTATTTTTAAAGCTGACCTTTTTACAGTAAAGCCTAATGTCATGCTCCTTGTAGATCGCCATCATTACTTTTACATACTTACGCAAATGCTATGCTCCGTACAATTAACTTGCTAGTATGTTAGAGTTAATTTCGACGTGATTCTCTATGTCCATCAGAGGCTAGTGAAGCATGTGTGAACTTTGGCAGCTGGAAAAGTTTATTTTTAAGTAATGGATTGTGGTTCAAGGAGGTCGCACAATTCTTCGTGCGTATGGTGTTGCTCCTGTCGTTTCATGGCCTTCTTTCTTCAGGAGGCGACGCATAAAAGCTCGACTTATTAGCACTGGCTTTGAGTAACTTTAAAAGTGCTCCTCTATCCTTGTGGGCTGTGAACAGACTGTAATATTAAAATTATTTCCACTTAACTCCATAAAGTAGGACACATTATGTGAAGTTACTGGTGCCATACTTGAATACACTTTTAAAGAGAATCACAAAATTCTATGGGATTCGTTTTCAAAATGTAAATGATGTTCACAAATTTTCTTACTTTGATTTTGTCTACTAGGCACTTAGAACAATCAGTCACTTCCATGAAAATGCTCGTCGACGTTATCTAAAGAACACTGAACTACCATAACCTGTTGGAGATTTTTTAATGCTCGAAAGGTTTCCCATACTACAACTGTGTCCAATTCTTCCGCTCTTGCAATGCTGCAGCTATCTATTCAGCTTCAGCAATACTTCGGCGTTTTCCCAGCATGTAAGGCAAGGATTTCCGGTCATCTTCGCATAACCTCCACAAATCGCATCAAACAAATACCAAACGCAAGCCACCGTCTCGATGACTGTATTCAAAAGCAGACTTTATCCATTATCATTTAGTGGCTTAAAAAAATGCACTAGTCCATTTTGTTTACTTTTCAGACACGTCTTCAATATTTTCAAAGTGGTTTTGTGTAGATCAGACAAGCATTCTGTTGATTTATTGGAATTGGAACCCCCAGGATGATGGCCGCTGAGCTTGAACTGCCACGGTAGTGGCATTATCACTTGAACTTAATGATCCATTCATTGATGTTAGGGGCGAATTTACACTTCCAAATGATCGACTCGAAAATTCGCACAGATCAGTATTTGTGCGATGTCCACGTTGCGTATAACTTGTCCTGCGAAGATTACATTTACACTACTAAAGAGCTCTTTATGGTCGCACAAATATTTATACTGACTGGTGAAATTATACACGATTCCATGCATTTCCCACCGTAAACGTTTTACTATGCAGTTCTACTCATTACGCGGATTTTGCAGCAACACAAACAGTTTATTTAGTATGTCTCCTTGCTCAGCACTATCAGTATTAGTTGAAGGAAGGTGTAGTTTCTCTATTTTCGCTTTCATTCGCCTAATTCAAACAACTTTATTCTAAACAGCGCTTACGTAAAGGCAAAGAGGCTAAAAGTATAAAGGGCCGAAGGATTTTGCAGTCTTGAAAAGGGCCATTCGTTGACGGACGGGGTTTAATAAATCAGCGGTTACCTTCCAACGCGAAATGGGCATTCATTTCCTGTTTTTGCAAGAGCGTGAATCCAGGTTGCCTTATTTAGTCACCACCTTTCACTTACAGCCCTCGTGGGAAGCCGAAGCAATGTGCCTATAATCATTTACTAAAAATATCTGCCAAACACTTCAACCCTTTCTGCTTAGTAATGTTTGATCTCTGCATGAAAAAGTGACCAAATTTTAGCTTTTAAATTGTACGACACTTTAAAAAATTATCCTAGTTATTTAGAGCGCTATTTTTATTGGGTATTTTAACACTTCTTCACGTTTGAGAAAAGATGACCAGTTGAGTAATCTTCCAATCCATCCTAATGACCTCAGGCCCTCCTCTCATGTCGGTTTGGCGTCTTCGTTCCACTTCAGGAATACCATGCAAGTTGAGTGCAAACTCCATCCAACTAGTGAACTGTGGCAGGGCGGACGAGGTACACACGACAAGAGTGGGAGAATCAATCACCGCTTTACCTCGAAAGACTGGAAATGAGATCCACACTTCATAAGCTTTGGAATTACTTGTTGCATGAGAGAGGCGCTAGCGATGGAGGTTGCTTACGATGTCCCTCCTCGACGACACTTGAAGGATGAGGCGAAGAAGTCGAAGAGGAGGAGGGGAAAGGAGGAGGTGTGGAGGATCATGCAGTGCAATGATCGACCGTTTGAGCTCTGATTTCTGTAGATCTACTTTATGTCTTTGTAGGTTTTAGGCTCTGCATTTCTAAAAATGTGCTGGTGGGAAGACAGCCTAACCTCCGCACTCGCTACGCTGAGGCTTGACACAAAATTACACTGTGAAAGGCGCAAACTTCTGATGATCTGAACTCCACTAATTCCTTTTCATTTTCGGTCTTGAAGGTTACACCACTTTGTATCTTGAGAAGCAGCTTCTTAAGAGTCTAGTGTTCCAGTAAGTTTGCGTCATCTAGGTGCTCTTTTACTTTTACACTTTCTTTGGCAGTCGATAGAGTTTAAGCTTGATTACTTTTATTTAAAGAAATGTTTATTTTTCAAGAATAAATGAATTCAAAAATGCTTCCACAATATCACAGCCATAAGGAATTTCCAAAAATAGTCCACTATCAATAGGGTCCTAAGCTCTTCCCTAGAACAAATTCAGCTTAATATCCTGCATATGGAGTTTTGGGTACCTTGGTATTCACGTCTGCAATAAGAATCCTTTTTGACTCTGAGAGACACGCTCCGTGCAATTAATTTCCCGACTTCGTATCTCAAATTGCTTAAATTTTGTATTAACGTGGAAATGTGTAACAACAGCCCAGTCATGCGTCAGCGAATTCAGGCGTATCCCCATTGCCACAGTCATTCGAAGTCTGACTAATGCGACTACTAATTCTTTCAATTGCGTAATAACTCCTCTCAACTCTGTTTTCTACTGGTCAGTCAGCTGGAAACACGGCCTCGTCCACTGTATAAATACGCATTACACCTCGCGTCGGTTCGGCCAATGATTGGAGCTACAGTGATGAAGGCGCGCTACGATTCGCCCATCGGTGCCATGCCCTCCATTTGCACATGCGAAAGCTGCATCAACGATTACCTCTACGTATACGAGAAGCGGAATGTGGCCGGTCTGCTTTCATTGCCCGTCTCTTCGGCTGAGGTTAGCAAAGAAGTGGGAGAAGACTTCTACTTCTGGCTGCAACAGAAGTAAGAATGGTTTTATTACGTCAAAAATTGCAAATTTAAGCATTCACATAGTGTGGATCGGGACATTTTATCGCCTCTTTGTCTATCCCACCAATATGGCCTGGCACCTCCAACCCTTCGATTCACCCGCCGAAGTGCCTTCCAGCAGCTGTATTTGGGGCGTTACCGAGTCCGCAAAAGTTCGCTTCACCTGCACTGTGAGTAAGATTGAAAGTCTTTGAAACTACCAACCTAACTGCTTTGGATTGCCCCAACCTTCTTGTCAGATAATGCACGATGCTCCAGCACATTTGGAATACTCATTTGTGTCACATATTCCTCAGTCTGTAGTGATTCACGTTGAACTTTCATGAATAAGCTAAATACCATGCTTCCTCTACCCTCTTGCGTAGTTTGTCTTAACGATGTGAAATCAACTCTCAAATTCATTCGAGCACATATAACGGCTATTCATGCGCAATAAAGGCATAAAGGCGTTGGGTGCCGAATCATCTTTCCACCTCCATTCAGCACCATGTTATGGCAATCACATAAAACGCTATTTCACTGATCCTCCTCTACTGGGGCCTGTGGACACCATCTCCTCCCCTTATGCTCTTTTCATTCTTGGAAGTTCTACCTTCTCCTCATAACCTTTATCAAATTTCCCCTGTTATGATAGGTTGCTATGGCAAGATTTATTTTCGGAATCGAAACCGCCTTACTTCACTGTTGATTCCGAAGTAATCAAGCAATTAATACTTGCCCAAACAGAGGGTTTACTTCTACCATCGTTTTATTATGTCTCGTTTTATAAACCCTTCGGCAGTAGGTGGTGTCAATGACAGATATATTGCTCAGGCTAAAACAGCTAAAACCACTTTTAATGCTAATGCGCCGAAATACATTGGGCCAAGTAGTTTACACAACTGCTTTTTGACTCGACAATAGGACTGCGGAAAGGTGTGGACCTCTATATCCGCGCTAGCCTCTTTCGCCCTCTGTGTGGAGCTTGAAGAGAGTCGGCCTAAGTGGAATCTCTGGTTTTCTCTCCACGGTCAAACCTGCTCGAATTGCGTCTCCCTCGGCTACACACCCAAGCCTCACTACGGTACTTGGTATCCCCACGAGGTGTTCAGGGTAAGCACCCTTAACCTTACCGAAGTGTAGGTGTTATCGGGAACAACTCACCAATTAATTTGCTTTGCGCATCATCAACTTGGCCACATTGTGCGCAATAAAAGCAGGAGCGTGAGTGAATCAGCGCTCTAGCATAACTATAGGCACTCACACAGGAAAGTTAGGACATGGAAGCCATTTAATTGTCTAAAACTTCACAAAATTTCCAGCCATTTCAATGTATGAAGTCGTTTAGACTGGTTCCGTGATGGTTAAACCGAACAACGGCCTTAGACTAGCAGCAAGGCACCGATATTAAGTTGTACATTTCCTTTTACAGGTGATGAAGAATGTCCACTGCAAAATCGAAAAAGAAGTGCTTTCCCAGATGAGAAAATAGAAATGCCCACGGCAACACAATTGAGGAATTCAGTTTCGCTAGCTGCCTTCTTACGTCAAATTCCGTGGTGTGGGCCACTCAATTAGGAGGGTTTACAAATAACGCTGTGATTTGTAAAGCTGGCACAGATTTTTGTTATGCGTACAAACGACAATAGAGACCATCCCTTTGCCTTTCGATGTCAATGGTGCATTTTGTTGCAGCATGTTAGTTAAATGGCCTCATGGAAAACTACAGGCTCCATATTTCAGACTATTTACGCGGCAAATTTAAGGAAACCTGATCAGTAGATGTAAATATTAAACTTACAGAGCTCGAAAACGATACTCTACTTAACTGAGACTAACCAAAATACAGATTCGCTTATAAGACAAGCCTTCCAGGACATTACTTCTTTTAGGGAAAGCTATGCCTTGCAAGATTCGCTTTACCGCGATGATTCTTCCCCTTCAATTGCCTTGATGATTAAGATCGCAGGGAACGCCTGTCAATGCGATGTAAATTGCACTTTAGTTAAGCATCACTGCAATGCAAAAGGGAATATTCCAAAGGCGTATAAGGGCACCAAACGAATTAAAGACTTGACACCTCAGGAACAAAGTAGCAACCTCAGTGATCTGAATATACTTGGGAATATACTTGAAGACAATGAATCCTAGGTAAGATCTCCTGTTATATGACTACTAGCACAAAAGAATGACAGAAAAAATTGTTTTCAAAAAATTTCAATCGCTCAGGAGCAACGTTTTGCAAGATTCAGCAAAAAAAATGCGTACGCGATCAAACCAAGTCAAATGCACCACAAATATAAACCGCCGCCTCTAGTCCCTTTTGTGCTACTAGATTGATTGTAGCAGTCCGAATATTCCTTGAAGTCGTGGCAAGAATTCCCAATAGGGATGAAAGTTTGTCACAGCGGAGAACCAACCCGATGCGTGAACTGGCATACCAATGCGTAGCCTTGAATGAATCAACGACATCTACCTCATCATATTTATCACTACGTTTCGCAACAACTGGAACTTTCGATGTTAAACGGGTTAAATCACTGTTGAAAACATAAGGACTGTGAGATCCAGTTTGAAATGGAGACAACTGTAATTTAACCAAGACTCATTAAATCAATGAAGAAACGCAAAGCCTGCACCATGGACTGTTGCTAACTTCAAAACCGTTTGCCCTATTTAGATAAATCGCATGATCATAAAAAGAAACCCAGACCAAACCTGCCACCAAATCTGTTGAAAGTATTTAATTTAAATTTAAGTAAGCACCACCCCCTAAGAGCACGAAATTACTCAAGTGCAAAAAAATATTAAAATGTCCCCATTTCAACAATATAGTAAGCAATGGCAATGACGCTCCGCTCTTTATGGAACGAAGGGATTAGTCGAACCTGCACTTAGAGAAATCCATTTCAGGATGCGCGTCCATGAATTTCTTTAGTAACTCCTGCTTTTTCTGCTCCTCAGACGTAGGTTTACCAAGTTGCTTTTGGCGTTGGTCGTACATCATCTTCTCCACCATGCCTCGCGTCTCCCCATCCAGATCACCGAGCTTCGAGTTCTCTGGCTGCACGCGTCTTGTGTTAATCTCCGGCTCTCCCTTTACCACACATGACCACCAAAACATCTTGTCGACCTTCTCTAGACTCAGCACTATCTCTAGTCCGTCGTCCAGGGTCCAAGAAGACTCCTCTGCCTAGGTCGTGAAAAAAAAAGCAGAAAGCGAGTGTCAGAGCAAAAGTGGTTTGAGACACCAGAAACCTCAGCGCCCAATTATGGTTACAATTCACTGCATAGACTCTTCAATCTGTTTGAAGTTCTGGTCCCCATACTGGCATTACGGTGCTGCGGTAAGGTTATTTCTTCTAACAGCCTTCAACTCCTGCATACTTATGCCAAAAACTCCACCGACTCACATTTCCCCTTTTCTGTTTAATAGAGAGTTCAAGCGATGCAAGAGCAAATGCCACTGAAAGAGGAAGGAAGAGATAAATACTTAAATTGCAAGCCTTCTAGTAATTCTACTACCAACTTGTTAACCCAATGTTAGGGGAAAACTTAATAAGTTGAATTAAAGACGCACTGATAGAGTTTCAACTTGGGAAAAACAAATGGATACGAGTGAACAAAAACGGATGATTAACTTGTGCACTTCAAAGACTAATTTGTCACAGGGCATCATCAGCACCCAAAAGGGCCAAATTATACTATGTACATTGCGGAACATAAGCTCACCAAGAATGACAGAATGGATAATTCCTATTATTTATGAATATGGATACATGTGATGCTGAAAGTAGGCTCAGAATTTAATGAAAACGAAAACGCAATACTGGCTATCTGAAATGGCGTCAAAGTACAAACCAAAGAGCATTTTAAGTCGCACATTGACACAAAGGATATACACCTTAATTTCATTGTAAAGTTCGCCTTGAAGAATTGGCTCCTGACCTCGAAGCCCAACTTTTAAATGCCTTCGTTTGAACTCAACCACAACGTCGCGGCCTTTGATACGCTTACCCATCTAAGAATAAAAAACAAGTTGACAGTTTGAGCACACTACACAGGTATCGTAGGATGCCCAGATATAAAAGCTAGAAAAGATTAGCACACGGTAAGGCCTGTCATTATCTAAACTGCAGAAAAAGTCCGATTGCACAAACAACCTCAAGTACATCCAAACTAACTGTGCTTATTTTGAAGTGACTTTTGATAATTAAAAATGCTGTTCAGGATTAAAATCTGATACAATGAGAGAATATTTAAGCAAGACCCACTCTTATTGGAATTCTAACTTCTAAATCTTGAAGAGTTTGAGTCCATCGATAGCGGTCAAGATCAGCGCCATTTCCATCGTTGGGCTTCAGCTTGCCTTTGTCCTCCTCATCTTCCTCCTCCCCTTCAGCAAGGGGTCCCACTTTAACGGGCTTAACCGGCGCCTTCGCCTCAATCCCATCGTCTCCCTTCGGGCTTGCTTTCGCCGACTCCTGGCCTTCCTCCTCCACTTTCACCATCTCGCCAACCTTTTCGTCATCCTTAACCTCCTCTATCACTACGCCACTGTGTACATCTATTAAACAATGTTAAAAATTATATATGATTTATAAGGAGTTGAACCGCAATAATAAGCTGTAACTGCCGTCTAAGTGAGGCCTAATAACAGGTTGCACTCATGATACTGCATATCTTTGAATGGAAATCTAACCGAGGAAGTAATAAAATGACATTCACTACGAGATTTGTTTTAACCACCAAACTAGTTAATTGACACCAGAGACAAGAACAGACGTACTTCCTAAAAGAGTGCAAATCAACAACAGCGAGCAAACAGACTGAATAAGCTAGTCTACGGCTAGTTGATCTGAGACTAAAGCCTGTCGTTACCGTTGTCAGCAGATTTTCGAAGAGCCTCCTCTGCGCGTTCAGCTCTGCGACGTTTTTCACGTTCCTCCTTGACTCTCAGTTCCTCCTTCTCTCGTTTATGACGGTCCAGAGCGGCAGTCTAAAAAGCAGACTCAAATCAGATAAAACTAGACCTACCTTGTGCTTCTCGAATTGCTCTAGAACAAGTTGCTTGGCATCATTTATTGCAGCACCATAGTAGAAATCAGTTCTGCGGGAAAGGAACCCAAAAAAGGCGTCCAGCATTCCCCTGATGCCGTCAGGACAATTTTGTGCAATGTTCAAAAACAAGCCGTCCAAATGATCACTCATATCTACAAGATTGCCGGTTATGCCACAGCAGTCGCTAATGGTTCTGAACACTAACAAGACCAAGACCGCATAACGTTAGGTTTTATTTTGCGAAAAGGATCAAACATCCACATTCCCTGTTATTGCACGTAATGGTTCGGATATATCACAAGGATGATCTACAAACTCAGCCACGGTGTCACAAATCAAGGAGATTGAATCAAGCCAGTGATTAACTGTCACACGAAGCTTCTTTAGTTGTGATAAGATATCACAATTGCGCTGGAGAGAAGCATCAACACTAAATCTTGCACATAGGAAGTTTCTTTCTACAGACAGTTGTACAGTAACAGCCGAACGTTGAGGCTCAGAATCCGTTTTCAGAGCACGAAAAGCTACTGCGGCAACAGATTTGGTTGGGAATGGGATTCGAACATTTAATACGTGCCCCAACATTTGTTACTTTAGTGAACTTTCTGAAGACTCAGAAGGTCTAGCAAATTAGCAAAGGAGATTACTTACGGTGACTCTATTCGGTCTTTTATAAGGGCTTTCGTTGCCTCGATTTCTTCTCGTACAGTGGCACTTATTCGCTTTTTAGAGGACAGTCAGCTTAAAAAAACCTACCTCCCGCTCTAAGGCTTGCTCAATGTGTACGTAAGCAATAACTCCAATGGCCGCAACGCAAGAAGCAACAAACGTTACTTTGGACGCAAATGACATGCACAGCCACTGACGAAAGATAAAATACGAACAACTGAAACATCCAATCATTTATTAGAAATGACGTTGCCATTCGTGCAGGAATAATTGAAATTCCTCAGCTGTCCAGACCAGAGAAAATGTTTGCAGGCCTAGTTTCAAGTCCAATAATGGTCGCCTTTAATAGTTTTGTCAATCTATTTGGCTTATTATCTTACAACTTGGTTTTAAAAATGTACTAATCGACATGCTAGGACATCAGTTTGAAAAGTCTTTTTATGCCAAACTCTCTCAAAACACTACCAGTCCATGTCGCAATAGCTGATTTCATTGACCACATTCAGATGAGACCGCCTCATATTTAGACAATTAAATATGAATTTTCAAGTAACAATACTGTATCGCATGCCAGTTTTCAAGATATGTCTAGCAGATGAAAGGCGAAAAACCTACTGTGGCCGCTACGCACGGTTAATCAGTCGAACAGACCCCAGTTCGGACCAAGACCGTCCCGAACACCCACTCAACGGCGCCCCCTGTAAGGCACGTCCCAACACCGAATTAGCCCCTTGCGTAAAGCTGATTTCTGATGACCCAATCGCGTAAGATATTGAATGTTAACGATGAGACCGTAAATGTCACTCAACAACTCGCCCGTCGTGATCTGCGACCTCGGCATGCCGTGTTCGCCAAGACTGCACGTAACTGAACGGACGATAGTTAGGAGAAAGTACCCGACCCCACCTACTGCGGTTGCTCAAATAGGCATTTATCTCCGCGGATAGCGCCCAGCACCCCAACCCACCTCTGTCTGGTAAGTGTACACACTTCAAGGAGACCTGTACTTTCGCCTTCGATGAAGCCGCAGAACATCGCATCCATCACATGACACAGCTGAGATCCAAAAATGCACGCCCTCGTCATGGCAACCAGGTATTTAAAGTGACCTTACCGCTGCATCTGAACACCTCCTCAATCGCTACACAGTGATTTTTTTATTTATAGACGCTCAGAATGAAGTTTTAGATGTTCCGAAAAAAATGGAGAACGCAATTGTACATTTATTCATACATAGTAGGGTGGGCGTGCCACATGAATACCTCGATCACGGAGGGCCGCTAACAAATCCTCCACAGTTAGCGTGATTCGCTTCTCTGCTTTTCCCGATGTCGAGGCCTTAGACTGGACTAAACGAAAAGACGAATATGTGTGCGTGCACTGAGTAACTATTGAGTGAATATCATGCAATCATGACCATTAAGGGAGCCACGCTAAGCCCAGTAACCTTCGAAACAGTTGCAGTTAGGCTAGGTATTGTAAACCAATAATGCTACTATGCAAAAACAATTTTTAACAGCGTAGCTGTTAAACATGGAAATCGCAGATATACCTTGCGGTTTGGTATCCTCCGGTGGCGCAAGAGCATTAACCCCATCTTTCGGGGCAGGAGTTCCAGCTTTGGAGAGAAGACCGGTGTTTTGGGCATTTGAGAGCTTCCAGTGAACCATAGTGTCGGAGAGTATGTCGGAAAGGAATTTCTCGGCAGCTAGACCAACCAACCGCGCCAATCGCACGTCGCCTTCACCCGCCTCCAAACGCACCCCAGCAGATTCCAACAGGAGTGTAGACACACGATCGGGTATCTATTAAGGAAAGGAGAAAAATAACGTACAATTATGTAGTATACCGTGGGTTGGATATGTTCCAGACGAGTATATAGTTCATTCAAAAGGTCAGGCTCATTGCTATTCTGGTTGGTTCCATCGTCCACAGATGACGAACTGCCAATAAGAGAGGCTCCACGGCGCGTTGGTGTTCCAGATCCACCCAATGTCATTTCCTAGAAAAGGCTATTAAAGTCAATGACCCCGTTATACTATTAAAGGAGCTAAAAATAGCCACAATCAGAATGAAGGTGTTTTAATTAAGGTAAAGTACGATACATACAATAATAGAGATAAGTGCGTCAGTTATTACAGTTCAAGAATGTCAGATCGGTCCCAAAAGCCGTCTACGACCTGAAATGAACGAGATGACGAAGAAAACATTTTGGCATCTACCCACTGCCACATCCTCCTAAGGTATCCGGAACGCACGATTTTCCGAAACCATGGTGTATAGCAGTGGGAATTTTTCTTAACCAAGGATTCGAGGGAAACAAGATCCGACCATGCAGTTGCGGCAACTTCGTCGACATTGGGAGCCATATGCAAACAAAGAGACAGGTTTGGGGGAAGAACACTGACCAAAAGGTAGTCGACTTCCCGCTCACACCACCTATTATCCTTAGGCTCATTGGCGGCTGAGTAAATAAGACGTGTTAAGAAGAAAATATCTTCGACGGCCAAGCACCTAGTGATGTCAATTCCAAGCTCTTGTTGTGCCTAAAATACAGCAAACGAATGCATCTCGACAAAGGCGACATAGGTATCAATGACAGTGCCCCATAAGAAGCTAACCTTACGTCGGGCCGCACGTCTTACACCGAGAGCACTAGTCTCCTCAGTTTCACCATCATAATTGGCACAGGGATGACTACAACAGCTGTTGGTCCATAATAAGGGAAAAGTGAGCTTCGACGCAGAACGTTGTTGAAGTAAGAGTTCCAGTGAACCAGGAATTGAAGGTGATTCGCGAAATATAAACAAGCTAAACGCCCGATGCAATAAACCATCGTTGCAATGGCATTTCTACAAAATAAGGTTAAGAACAAAAACCTTCTTCGAGGCTGTAAATAAAACATGGTCAAGATTGTCCACAACAAGACATTCATCCTTAAGCATATATTCATGTTGAGTATGGTTTTTTTCCATCGTTGAAGCAGAGTGCGTTCGCAAGCTACACGAACTTAAGGCAACTGTAAAGGCAGGAGAGAGTAGTCTCCACAGCGAAGAATGTACCAGAGTGTGCATTAAAATCAACCACACCTAAAATGTAGCACATTTACTTGAACTCAAAATCGGGCGGTGCAAACAGACAGGTAATCAAACAAGCCAAGAAACAACATAGGTAGATCGCCAATCTAATTAACTTTGTAAAGCGACGCCAACACGCTATGACCCACAAAGGCAATGAAAAACAACCTATGCATTCTCTAATCCAACGCACGGGGTACTGAAATATATTCCTATCACCTATCACACCAGGACCCACACGGTCCATGTAAATCATCTACATGGCTAAGGGGCATAATGAGCTGGATTATAGAAATTATCAAAGTATAACCAGTTATTAAAGCCACGACGAGGAGCAAAATAAACAGAATCAACCACATAGGAGGTCAGTTGCAATCATCAATGCACCAAACCCTACCAGAAGTTAGAAAGGCAGACAGACGTACGAAAAATTCAAATCCCGACCCAGATAAATTAAGACAGATCAACCACTTTTGACAGGAGTAAATATAAATTTTAAAACAAACTATATTTTACGTCCGCAAAATGTGATCAGCAAAAAATTTCGCCCTTTACTGAAGTTTTAAAATTCAAGGTAATAATTATTATAAGTAGGCTAAGTACACATATTCGTGATGGTGGACGAGAGACAAGGCCTTGGCTTGGTCCTGATGTTAGCACAGTAAAGCTTTGTGTGTGTAACCACATGAAGGTTGGCTGTCACTTTAGGATTTGTCTGGTCCCCGTACTCGTGGGCTGGTCTTCAGGCTCTGTTGTCTTCGGAATACATGCATTCAACCTCA